CTCTCTCTCAAAAATAAATAAACATTAAAAAAAAAAAAGAATCATATTGTGGATTAGGGCCCACCCATATTTTACTTTATTAGGGCCCACTCATTTGACCTTAATTACATCCTTAAAGTTGCTATTTCCCAAATACAGTCAGATTCTGAGATATTAGGGGATAGGACTTCATCTTATGAATTTGGAGGGGACACAATTCAGCCCATAATAGTCAACAATAAGGGAGAGAAAGGAGTTGTGAGTATAGCTATGGAGAAATGAAAGCATACTCTACACACTTGCAGAAGAAATTTCACCTGTTTCCCCCAAATCTAGAATTCCCTTTCTTCTCTCTCAGTCCTTTGACACCAAGCTCCTATTTCTGTTCTCAGCCCTGATGATCATCTCAGTCCTAATGATTCATTTCCCTAATCTCACTTGCAGAGCACTTACTAGCTATACCACTCATCTGGCCCTTGACCCCAGATGGCCTGTGGTGCCTCTTGATGCCTTGTACATTACTATACTTGAGGCCTCATCTCAGTCACTGTCTCTGTCCCTTGCTTAGTTCACACTCAGCTTATATCAGTTCCTCCCAGGAGCCATATAGTGGGCTGTAGATCAAGGACACTGGAATACTGCTCCCAACCCCTCTTCACCTGCCCAGCCCTCTCTCAACTAATTAATATCATTTTATCCTTAAGATCTCAGCTCAAATGCCTCTTCCTCAAGGAAGCTTTTGAAGACCACACACACACACACACACACACACACAATATTTATCCTGGCACTAAATACAGATCCTTCTCCTACCCTCTCCCCTCACTTTGTCATAACACTCACCAAGTTTAATTCCATACTTGCATTGTTATTATGTCATTAATGTGTGTCCTTCAGATTGATACATACTCATAAGTTCTTAAGCAGGACTCTATCTGGTTTATCCATCATTTTCTACTGAGCAGCTAGACCAGTGCCTGGCACACAGTAAGTGCTCAATAAATATTTGTTAGCTAAAGGAAAGAGTAAGTGAAGTGTAAATTAGTGTAAATCACTGGTTATGTGCTCTATTTTTACTAAATAAATTCACTTTGAAATAGAGGCAGTGTGAAATCATTAAGTAGTAATTCCTAGACAGATAGAAAGGTGCACAGATATTAATAGATCTTGAATGAATGGAACCACACATAGAAAGTTAGAAATCTAACTGTTCCATTATGTGATAATTCTGCAGAAATTACTTAAACATATTTTCCATATGTAATTTTCCATAGACATTTATATATTATTTCTCTTCTGCAGGTATTTTTTAGTCCATTTGAACAGATATCTGCAGTCACCCTCTCCCTATGGCTCATTCCACTGCTTGACTTTGGCCTAAAACCAAGAAGAATTCTTTACTTGTGCTAAAGAACTGACAGATTCCCATGGTGACTCCAATCCAACACTTTTTCATTTTCTCCTTCATATTAGGCAGGAAACACTAAAATTCTGGGAACAAGATTTGTGTCACACATTGGAAATGTTCGTATCTGCTGATAACACTCCATCTACCTCGGCTAAGCGCATGAGGAAGCCACATGGTCACAATCTAATGGAACATAGAACATAACTAATAAACTGAAGCAACATTCCACATGTTATCACTTTCAGCTTTGCGCAACATGTGGAAACAGGCTCATGCACCACTCGGTTGTGTCAGAACATCTAAGAGAGTAGAATGCTTGCTTGGGATTTATTATGGTCACTCACCTCAGGAAAGTGTCCAAAAGAGTGCATTACAACCTCCACATGTCTGTACCTTACTGATTTCTTTTTTTAAAAGGAGTGTTTTCTGAGATGTATTTATCTGTCAGGTATTTGGATATTTATGTAGCCCTGATTCTTTTGAATACTTGAAAGCAAAAGCTACCAGTAACTGCTAATGAGAAATTATTTTAGACTAGAAAAATAAAACTGTTCTTTTTATAAGAATTGCAACAGTTGCATGAACCCAGGTTACTGAATAATTTTGTTTCTTGTTTTGTCCTCTACTTTCTATGCCTCCCCACCCCACAACGTAACAGACATCATCTTCTGTTTTATGGACTTCAACTATTTTATCCAAGGTGCAAGGCTCAAGTTGAGCAGGGCTTCTTGGTGAATAATTTTTCTCATGCTAAAGAAGAAACATGAAGCAAATTAGGAAACCATAGAAGCCAGAAAAATAACAGCAACATCATCAAAATCTGAAAAAAAAGTTTACCCTAGAAAAGTGAAGCTCAATATGGGAAGTTTAGCAGTTGAACTAAATGAACATTACAACATTACATAGTCAATCTCCATTATTAGAAAGAAAACTTAAAATGCAAAGCATGTTAAGTTAAATGCTTGAGCCCTTTTCTTAAATTCCTTTTTATCAGTAATCAAACATTCAGTGCATTCCTCACAACAGGTAAGGCAATGGGTCAACAACTAAGATGCTTCCACCCATAGCCAGAAGCTACAATCTCTCCAGTCCAATTAAGAAGGAAACAAAATCTCTCCAAAAGAAGCAAATCCACTCTCTCATTAAGCTGAGCAGACCTGGGTCAGGTGTCTCAGAAATAATCAACTTGATCACTGGTTCTGAGGCTAAAATATTAATGACCATACACATTAACCAATGCACCAGGAAACTCCATAAAATAAAGGAAATCTAAGAAAAGTACTATAAGCAGACCAAGTTCACAGCACACAGTCTTCTAACCCAAAGTTCTCACTATCTTCAAAAAAAAAAATTTAAATATAAATCAAAAGAAGCTGGATAGCCTAGTAATGAAACTGTTTCCTAGTAATTAAGACACTTTCCTATTTTACATCTAGTGATAGAAACACGTTGTATCATTTTAAAAGATGAGCCTGAGAAGAAAGTGAGGGAATGGTTATAGCTGTCTGACACTCACATCTGTGAATTAACACCGTCTAACGCCATCCCAATAGGTTGTTCCAACACTAAATAAGTCAGCTATGAGTGTTTACCAAGAATATTTGAGAAAGAAATATATATTCTCATCCAAATTAACTGTTCTTTAAAAATATATTTTATCAGTTTGGCCAATCATTAGAATTGTTTCTTCCGACAAAAATGAAATTGTTTTAATTATCTGATGCCCATAACGACTTTTTATTTTTACAAAAATGAGAAAAACATGTCTTACTTGGAATGCCATTACCCATAACATAATATAGATTTATTCAGAATACCTTACGTTCTAGGAATTTAAAATGTGGTAACTGTCCAAATATTTACCTTCATTTAAAATTATTTCAGCCCAAACCCAAAACCCCAAGAAAAATCATTCTGATGGAAACATTTCTTTTCACTCCCTATGAAACCCAACATAAAGCTAGATTCTCTGTTACACTGTAGTCCTAAATGACATTTCGTTGCTACAGCAACGAAACTCTGCTACCTGTGGCCATGATTTGTTAAGAATTCCTCCAACCAGTAAATTCTGTGCTGTGCATTCATAAAACCAAAAGAATGGCTCGAATGGCCCAATGCAACATACAAATTAAGGTTTAATTTCCTATTATGATCCACCCACACACATATTTACAACATATATCATATATGTATACATCCATACATGATTATGGTTTCCCCAACTCCATGAAAAAGGAAAAATCATACCAAATTTCCATTTTAACGTGAGCACCAAAAAACTGCTTTGTTTTAGGTTTCAGTGAATAATTGCTACCTGTTTCCCAAAATTTATCTTAAAAGGTAATAGCGGCTATCTGGAGAGAATTTAAAAAACAAAAATTTGTTATCTGCATGCACGCTCATTCCAAAAGGAAAAAAAAAAAATCCCGAGGCACAATTTCCTATCTGTTCCAGTAAGTGTGGCTTCCTTAGCAGTGAACTGATTTAGCAAATCTCAAGCTGAAGCATAAAGAAAGAAAATGTAGCTGTCACCACCTTGATTCACCAAACTGCTTCTGCAGGCTACTCACCCTCACCGGGGGGCTCCAGGCTTGCACCCGTGGCTGCTGTCCGCCCTGGGAGCTCTGCAAATCTTTTGAGCTACAATTAGCCACCGTGCTGCTCTGAGCCCTTAATGCATTTGTGCAGTTGGTCCCACTGCCCCCACCAGGGCCAGGTTTCCAAGGCCTCTGCTTGATGCCATCCAGAAGTCTGACCAGCAGGATGTTACTTGGAAGCTCCTCAACACCCGAGCCAACAAGAGTCCTGCACTCTGGACATCTGAGTTCATTTCGGGAACCTACAATCCCCAGCAAACATCGTTTGCAAAACGTGTGCTGGCAAGGCAAGACCTTTGCGGAAGCATCAAGCCGCTCTAGACACACAGGACACTCCAGAAGATCCAACAAGGCAGATTCATCCATCTTTATCTCGCCTACTGAGAAAAGGCTTCAGAAATGTTCACAGTCGTGCGCATCCCTGAAAGTGATTCATGTAACATCCATTTCAGACTTCGCTCTGGAGTAACGGGGGAGGGGGAGGAGAGAAGACGGAAAATTAGTATTGTTACTTGTTGAGACGTTTCACAGCGGAGCCCCGAGAACCAAAAAAGTACACAAAAGTGCTTCCTCTGAATAGTGCAGCTTTGCTTTGGAATGTGGTTCCTGAACTCCAAAGTCAACAGTTAAACACAAAGTGGACTTTTTAAACAATTCGAAACGAATCCCTAAAGATATCTAGGAGTTCACTGGGCAGAAACGGCTGTATCAAGCACTATATGGGATTCCTGTAATGCAACGGGATTTAGGAAATGCAACAAACAGCATAACTTCTTCAGCCCTCAAAGCGATACCGGCTGCCTTAATAAAGTCGTCCTCAACTCATACGAGAAGCTGAACAGAAGCAACTCAAAGTTTCCTCTACCTGAAAGTATCTTTAAAGCCAACAAACTTCCCAGTCTTGAAGCCACTTTAGTGCTTAAGAAACCATGCCTCATGTGATCGCCTGTGGTAAATGATCCCAATATTAAATACATATGTTTCTTCATCGGCCTTAAAAATAGAACTGCTTAATCTTGCCCAACCAAAATGAGCCGAAGGTTGACAATTCTGAGGGACACAACTCGCTTGCAAGCAGCTGAACTAGAAAAAGCACCCTTCGGGGGCAGCGGTGGACAAACTCCGAAACGGATCTCTGGCCAGCCCGTCCTAACCCCATTCAGAAAAAGCTGGCAAAATTATCACCAAAAGAATCTGACAATGGAATGCCGGGCTGAAAACTGTGAGCGTCATAGGAAAATGGGGCCATTCGGGGAAAAAAAGCATTTAAAGCGGTGCCTGCGCCGCTCCCCCCCCCCCACCTCCGAAGTAAGTGCAAATGGGAGCGCCTGGGAGAGAGAGGGCAACAAGATGTGGATGTTCTTGACGGAGTCGGGGGAGCGGGGAGCCCCTGAGCCCCTCTCCCACGCCGCCGAGCACAGGTACCCCGCGACCCGCAGGGAGGCGCGGCGGCCGCTCGCCGCGGACACACCCCGGAGCCAGGTGTCGCCGACCCGCGGCAGGGGAGGGTCCCGCGCTGGGGCTGCGGCCCGGCGGGTGCCGGAACGGGGATCTCCTTCAGCAGCCTCCTCTCCGCCACCCTTCGGGTCAGGCCGGGCACACAAATCCCACCCCCCGAACGACTGCTGGAAGTTTTCAAGGACTTAAAAATACATTCGAAGCCTTAAGTTGCGAAAGTCAGCCCCACAAAGTGCCACCGGGAAAGGTCTGTGACGCCGCACAGATGAGGCGGGAGTCCCCAGAGAGACCGAGCCTCCGGGAGGGCAGCGAGTGCTGGGCTGCGCCCCCGAGACGTCTGGCACCAGCCCGGAGCAGCCTCCCTGACCGGGAGAATGAAGCGGCGAGGCCGCGCCGCCGTCCCGGCTCCGAGACGGAGGGCAGACGACAGCCCAGCGCCCCGACCACCGCCTCCTCGGCCGCGAGCGTCTGCCCGCGCCGGCTCCCCGACGCCCCGCCCCTACCTCGCGCCTCGGCCTCCTTTTGTTCGCGGCCCCACCGCTGGCGGCGAGCCAGAGCAGAACGTGCAATGCGGCCCGCCAGTCCGCCGCGCGCTGTGATCTCTGACGCCGCGGCGGCACGCGAGATCCTCTCTGCCGCCCCCCCCTCGCGCGCGCACATCGCCACACACACACACACACACACACACGCCTGCCCCTCCCCCACTTTCCCAGCCAGAGGCGGAGGAAGAGGAGGAGGAGAGGCCGAGCCGCAGGGCGCCGGGGCGCGAGGGGGCGAGCCCTGCCAGCGTCTCCCCGGAGCGGGCGCAACTCAAGGAACCGAGGGCCGGCGAGCCTCCCCTCGGCGTGAGGTACCGCCGCGTCCGCCGCCCCGAGGCGCGATGGGGGCGGCGGCCTGAGGGGGCGCTGCGAGGGCCGCGAGTCCAGGAAGCGGGGTCCCCGAGCGCGAGTGAGAGGGATGGTTCAGGGGCACGCGCCTTTCCCTGGGGAAAACACGCCCGAGAAGATGAAGCAACCGGAGGCGGAGAGCTTTGGGAGTGGCGACGGAGTGGAGAAGGAAGGCGCCACGGGGCAGGGACCGGCCGCGTCCTCCTCCTGCCCAGCGGTGCCCGGCGGCCCGGGACGGACGACTCGGGGCGGGACCCGCCGGGGCGCGGGAGGGGCCGGGGCCGGGGCCGCGGAAAGGGCGGGAGCGGCCCTGGCGGGAACTGATCCCACTTTTCCTCTGCGTCTGTTCTCCCGGCCCTCCGGACACGCTGGGGAGAGTGAGAGCGAAGTGCTGTTACCCCCGAGGTCCGAGAGGGGCAAGTCGGATCAGCGCGGGGACAGTCCCGGGGCAGCTGTCCGCCCGCCCATTCTCGGGCCGCCGCCGCCGCCGCCGCCGCAGCCCGGCCTTGCTCCCCGGTCTGCCCGCACCCAGGCATCACGCCGCCTCCCCGGGGCACAAACCCGAGCCGGCTGGGAGGATTGCTGACCCAGGAGCTCAAAATGGGAGGGGAGAGAGGCGAGGAAAACAGTTGTGGGGGGTTTACTGTCAGACCTGCCCTAAACGGGGAAAATTCAAAGTCTGACCCCAGGTGAGCTGGCACCGTAAAGCTAGCTGAGAGGCGCCTCTTTTATCTGAGCCTAGGAGGCAGCCATAATCACCACTGTAATCTTTGTTTCGGTTGCCCCAGGCGCACACCTGTAAACTGAAATGTAGTTTTGAAAAACACGTCCACAGGTTTTGAGGTTTGTTTTGCAGACTCGGTTGAGAGGGGGAAACAAGTTGAAATGTTGTCAGTATCTCAAAGTTGCCTAATTGTATTTGCATTTACCGTCAGCTTAAAAGAGTTATCCCAAATACCCTTCCTCAAAGGTAGGCAGACACTAGGTGAACATAAGAAGGGTTAACGCATATTGTGCAAGAAACCCCTGCCTGGCCAGCGACCACAGTGACCTGCTGAAGGGAAGTCAGATTATTCTCTCGTCTCCACCCAGGCCACACTCAACTCTTCAAGACAAATGAGATCACCTAAGTGAGAAAGAAAGTATAACAGTTAATAATTATTGATCATACATTGCATGTGCTAAACATTCTACACCCATTAATTCAATCCTTACTGCAATCTGATACTCATCCCTCCTCAGCTTTGTTTTAAATAGATTAATATGCTGAGAATCATCTTGTGTGAACACCAGAAACAGCCCCCTTCCCCCTCCGTTAGAAGTGAGCAAATACACATGCATTTGAGCTGAGAAGGCAAGGGAAGGAATGAACAGAATGAAGTGGTTTTTTTTTTTTTAATATTTATTTATTTTAGGGAGAGAGCAAGCAGGGGAGGGGCAGAGAGAGGAGGACAGAGGATCAGAAGGGGGGGGGGGGTTGTGCTGACAGCAGCCAGCTCCCATGTGGGGCTTGAACTTAGGAACTGTGAGATCATGACCTGAGCCAAAGTCCATCATCTTTCAACCAACTGAGCCACCCAAGTGTCCCCAGAATGGAGAATTTTTAATCTGATAATCTAGAAACAAGACACTCTGAAAGTGACTACTTAGCCTATGTACTTCTGTATCTGGAACTGTGCAGATGAAGGTGAGGCTGACTGGAAGAGTACAGTCAGTAAGCACAAATATTAGTATATGCAGTTCACAGTTTTTAATATTTCTTTTTTAATTTATTTTTGAGAGACCGAGCAGGAGTGGGGGAGGGACAGAGAGAGAGGGAGAAAGAATCTGAAGCAGGATCCAGGCTCAGAGCCTGACAGCTCAGAGCCCAACACGGGGCTCAAACTCATGGACCGTGAGATCATGACCTGAGCCGAAGTTGGACGCTTAACCGACTGAGCCACCGAGACGCCCCTGCAGTTCACAGTTTTTGAAAGCAAAGTTCAAATAGGTTCATTTCAACCCTAGGTCACAAAATCACAAGACAACCTCAGGTCTCTAGATTCTAAGTACCCTCTCTTAACATTCCGCCTCAGGCAAAACCAAGTGTACTATGTCTGCTCCCGAGGGAAAGAAGACACTGTTCATCATGTAATTACTTTGGAGAGCAAGGGACAATTCTGTTTTGTTTGTTCTTATTTTGGTTTTTTGTTTGTTTTTACAGCGAACAGTATATAAAGTCATGGGTGGAATGGTGCAGCTCTTGAAACTAGGCAAGAAAATCAGTCACGCCCATTATCAAAGAACTAAAGACAGTGTGCCCAAGACTGCAGTGATCAAAAAAGCACCCCCATACATCCCATGAATGTTATTGTCTGGCACATAGCTGCAGTTCCTTGAATGCCCCTGGTGCTACTTCACTATATTTGGTAGAGCACAACTCTTCTATTAGCCTTAATTACTCTAGCTGTAAAATGAAATTTTAGGCGAATTACTTTAAACTCTTGAGCCATCTTTCTTCCATCAAATGGTGAAATAGATCATACCTTTCTTAGAGTGTTCTTGGAAGAGTCAATGAAATCATGTGCTGGTTCTTTGTAATCTGTACATCTCTATTAAAGAAAGATGTCATTATCGTTATCTGCTGAAAATTACCCAGGCAGAGGTACATTGGGCAAAATCCTTCCTTCCCACGGTCTTTGAAAAGTTTGGGAAAACACTTACAATTGCAAAATCCTGTCAAAAGAATACTATAGCAGAAGGGACAGTTGGGTAAAGAGAAGCATGTTCATCTCACCATTTCTGGGAACTGAACTTGAAGAATGTAAACATGATATACTTATGGCCCCTGTGACTTTGAGTAGATACATGAAAATATAAACACACCCTGTACACAATAATGATAGCTTGGCTTAATACCGTACAGATCCTCCCAAGACTTCAAAGTACTTTTATATATGTTGTCTCATTTATCTTCTAAGCATCCCTCTGAAGCAGTAAAGACAGATATAATCATCCGCGTGTGTAGATGGGAAAAAACGA